CATAGTCATTTTACAACTTGTTCTGAAGTTGTCATCCCAATATTTTTTTAATATTTGATACTTCAATTAAGGAATCACAAATATTATATTTATAAATGTATTTAAAAAAAAGAGACGATAACTGCAGTTATAAAAAGGCCAAAGACATGTTTTAGTTTCATTTACAGAACTGAGAACCATAACAAAGCCTCTGCTGTTGTACACATGCCAGAGGCATCATCATATGATCACATCGGAACTATCGAATATTATCTGCTTGCTGGAGTTACATCCAGCAGCTATCGGTCCTGTTTCTCCAAACTTAAAACAGATTCTCAGTGCATGATAATCTGAGAAAAGAAAGAAAAAAAAACCCACCTTGTTGCTGAATCATGCTTACTTTTAAGATTCTGATCAAAAACAGTGATCAGAACTGGAATAAAGCTAGACTGGCAGCTGACAAAGAAAGTGTGATGTTACAGTACATCTAATTATGTCTTGCATGCTCTGAAGAAATCAGCCTTAGTTTTGGTGTACGTGGACATTACAACTTTCTGGGAAAGGCTGTGGAAAAATTTGTCTGGATTCATCACAGTTAATTAAAAGAAAAGCAGGTAACAAAATGTTATCAGCATTGTATGTTTCTTTTTGCAAGGAAAAGATTAGTGTCCCTAAATTTCACTTGACTGCATGGTTTTACCATGGCATGCAACAATCCATGTCCCTATATATATATCTGTGTATATATATATATATATACACACGTGTGTGTGTGTGTGTGTGTGTGTGTGTGTACATATATATGTACATACCTACCCACCTGCAGAACCTGACCCAAACCGGAAACTTTTCCTTATCTGTGTGGCGTTTTCTGCTTTTCCCCATCCCCTCCCACAGAAAGACAAAGAGCAGAATTTCCCGCCCTTCTCTCAGCCTCCTGAAGGAGCCAGAGAACCAATGCCAAGTTTGCTCTGTTCGCAGGAGGTCAGTAAAGAGAATGTCTTAAAAGCTGATCAAAGAGAAGACCCAGGACAAGAGTAGGTCTACAAAAATTACTACGGGATAGTCATGATTAATGACTCGAAGGGATGCAGTTTGTGAAGAAGCACAAGACTAGAGGCTTCACAGTTAACAAAGTTACTGAAATAAAAGGCACTTTGCGGTTTTCTGAGTTACTGTTTGCACAAATGTAGGCACTATTAAACTTATTCACAATCCATCAGTCTAATTTTCAACACGCTCCTCAAAAGCATACCTTTCACTGTTTGTCTATTTGTCTTATTTCTCAGACATCTATTAACATGTATGCTTGTTTCAGGCAATCTGAACGCACTGTGTTCAAATTCACTTAACCTTGACAGTCTTAGTTCCCTTGATATTCACAAAAACAAAAAAAGTAAGGGACAATGCTGGGATAAACCTTTACCAGACTTAAGTTATACCCGCACTCTAAATCTGAAAGGCTGCTCAGTTTTAGATTGTGTTTAAGCAATCTCCCTCTCATTTTCTGGCCTCTTTTTTTTTTTTCCCCCCCTTAAATTCACATTTCACTCTAGGATCATCCTAGAACACCAACTATCTGCTTGCACTCAAACACAGAAAAAGATAGAGAAAAATAACATAGCTACTGTGACTTCAAGAGTCAGGACATGAAGGAAAGAGAGGGCAAACTCCAGCTATGGTTGTTAATGGGGCAGGGAAATCAGCCTGTGACAAACACTTGAAACTCAGCCAATGCCTTCAGTTTATTAGAGGAAATGATACTTAAGGAGTCCATGCAGGCTGGTCTCACCAGCCAGCCTGTGTGTTGCATCCCCCCCCTTATACTGAGAAACACAGCCATAGACTGACAGCTTCCATTCCCAGATAACAGAACAGTTTTATTTTTACGAGTTTTTTGTAGCAGGAGACATCTGCTCAATCTCCTGCTACAAAAACACACAAAGAGCAATACTTCCAATATAGATCATTCAGATCAGCCCAGAGATTGTCTGATGGAGACCAATCTTGTTCGTTCAGAGACTCCTCTGCTGTGTGAACCACTGCAGAGCTCATTTTGGCACTGGATAACAGATCTGGAGAAGAGATCTAAAGCACTGGACAACTTTTTGCCTTCAAGAGACCAGAGCATGGAGTGCTCTTGCTCTGTTTTACTGTCAAAACCCCACCCTTTTACAACTGAAGACTACAGCAGCTTCTCTCTACCTTGTTAGTTACAGCTCTTCCATTCATCAAAACTAACTGCACTTCAAGCTGATCAGTCAAAAAAAAAAAAAAGAAGCTTTTTTAAAGCAGATCAGTCAAGAATGTTCTCACTCAGAGCTGGTTAGGCTCATTTCAAACACCACTTTTGTTTGGTGAATGAAAAAGAGAAGTCACAAAGGTAGAAGGAACCCCAAACAAATCTGTCTGATGGTACTCGGCATCCAGGCAGGCAGACAAGAAGTGTTCCCCGGCCTATGACAGCTGGAGCACCCACAGGAGCACCAGTGCTACAGCAACAGAGTCCGATCTGGACAAACACAAAGAGAACAACACTAGTAGAGACTACAACACTAGTAGAGACTCAAGGCTAGAGGCAGAGTAGTAAACAACTAAAACCAAACCACATCCAAACAACTACTTCCCTTGAAACACATAAAGCATCCACTACAGCATTTTATGTTACGAAAAAAACCCTCACAACTCAGTGTTTAAAGACACGAGGATTAAATAAGCCAAAGTGGAGCAGACAAGAAGATGACGAGCAGCAAAAAGTTTCTGTGGTACATACGTGGATTTGCAAAGAGAAACCTCAAATGACAAACCGACTCAAGAGGGGTGTGGAATTCAAAAAATACATTCAACTCTCATGCCTAAGAACAGGCATTTGCCAAGCGAAGTAGGCTGGCAGCACTACAGCTGGCAGGACATTGGCACATGTGTCAAGTTAGAAAAAGTATCCCACTGGATGCTGCAATATAAAGTGCCAGAGTGACGGAACTATAAGCTCTCTGCCAAAAATATAATAAAATGATAACGCTATTTTCAGCCTAGAAGCTACTCTGAATTTACAGAACAGGTTCACTAGCCAAAAAAGACATGGTAAAATGACCAAAAAAAAAAAAAAGAGACACAGAAAAAAACAAAAGTCAGCAGGGCAAGCATTCTTCTACATGATGGGAATTATGATGGATTAGATTAAAAATAGGAGGAGGTTCAAGTCAATATGCTATGATAAAAATTAAACTGAAAGTACAACTTGGCATGATCAGCATATTTATGAAATGAAAATAACACAAAAAACCTGCAGTAACCGTTCAGCAGCCCTGGGGCATAACTTTCTCTGCCCACCCACTAGTACCTATTACATTTCTAATTTATTACACAGCAACATTTCACTTAGCAGGTAAAAGAAATAAAGGACATTATGAGAAGCTGCTCTAATAGTTTAAATCAATGAAGGAGTTCTAAAGCTTTCTGAGCTTGAAGTCATATTATCATATCACATCAACTTACATATCAAGTTAAAAGGTTGCACTAATATTTGGTTAAAGGCATGTGCTCTTCCACTCTTGTTTTTAAGACTACCTGAATCAAAAGCTTTAAAAGATGAAGTCTGTTCATTCAAGGTACTTCATTTCTCTAACTTCTGATCACCAGAAACAAAATAATCGTAACAAAGAATGAAATAACAAAGTACAGTGACAAGAAAAGAAAGGAAATACTTAAGTACATGGACAAACAGTCATTCTCAGGGACTTCGGCACTTGATTGATCAAGTGTAACTTGCCAGAAAAAAATATTCTTCTTTCTCATAGCATGGAAGAAAGGCCATTTCAAGAATATTTTCAACACTTATCTGGACTACATCGTCCTCCCTTTTCATGCTCTCCAGTCTAAGCCATCCAGAGGCAGAAGAGAAGGAGAGAAGCCAGCTGCGAGGACGTGGAATCCAAAGTCAGCAACAGCTCCAGACATGTGATACTACCTAGTGTAGACACAGCTTAGACTTTGTCATGACAAAGCTTCCTCTTCACATGGAGCAGCTCAGGGGAAGAGAGGATGGAGAGGTCAAAACAAGACACACTGAGATGATCTAAAGATCATTGCTGCCAGAAGAGATATTTTCTCCTCCATCCAAGACATTCATTACTTCTCAGAGCCAAGCACTCCCAGCAGACTGAAACTTGTCCTGAGCCCTCAGAAGCAGTTCAAATTACTAACTTGGCAGAAAACAAGCAAATTCGGATAGCAAGTTGCCTCTGCTCATACACAGGCAAGGAAAAGGACACAAAGGAGGTTAGGAACCTGACCTACGCTTTCAGCAGAGATTCGACACTAGGAAATCACTAGGACAATTCAAATGTGATATGGTCATCTTTCTTACACCCCCAAGTGCTGAGGTACAAGCTGAAAAATATCCAGCTACCCCTTGAGTCTATCCTGCAGAAGGAAGACAGGTGTCAACTGATTCATTCTTTCTATACAGCACAGTACAGGCATTGAGGCTATTTTTTTATTATTTAGATTGCTTGTGCTTTGTATTCTTCTGTCCTGAACAATGGTGGTTGTCAAAATGTGCTGAGCGAGGCATGCAGGGTAGGCAGAAACAGCATTGTCAGACAGTGTTCTTCATTCAAATCAGTTACCCCCTCCTTCACTGCTCTGCCACAACATAAGCTCCCTTCATTTTTTCTTCTTACTTTAAGAGAAGACTTAAAATTCATGCCTCCAAACGAAAAAAAACAGCACTTCCTCTACCATCTCCCCACCAGTAATGCAAATGCATCATGGAAATTCAGAAACTGTTTTCAAACCACATCAAAATTCCTATCTCTGCATCCTATCTCTGCCCTAGGTTGGTCAAATACGTATCTGCGCAAGCAATCAATGCATTATCCAAACACGTATTACTGTACTGACAAAACAACTATCCTTAAAGTGAAAGGAACAAAAATTTTATGTCAAATAAACGACAAGTAAAATAACAAGCAAATGATTTGCTTGTTAGAATTTTACATTATCTGCATATTACTTACTTGGTGCATTCTTCTAAAGACTGTACAAGCATTTGCTGGAAAGAACTTATTTCTTCCAGGTTTCCCATTAAGTATGAAGTGTTTGCTGAGTTTAACCTGGAGCCAAAGGAAACAAAAGGTGTTTAAGGTTTGCAGTTGTTCACTAACTGTGCTTTAATAAAAGCAGACTGTTTTATACAGAAAGAAAAATGAGTAAGAGCAAGCCTTGTCTCAAGAATCTCACAGTCCACACAAGAAATAGCACATTGACATTGAAATTTTCACCATATAAACCCTCCCCAATAGAAGAGAGATCTCAAGCTTGATTTAAAAAACAAACTCACATACTTTTCACTGGCTTGTAACGGTCGCAGGTAGTTCGAAAGCATTGTTTGTAGCTCCTTAGCATATTCATTTTCTGTTTCTAATATATTTTGTAGCACCTAGAATAAATGACAGTCGCTAATTGGTATTTTTAAGAGATACTTCAAAATTTTCATATCAATACCAGTGTTAAAGTATATTAAACTTTACTTACCACTAGGAAAACTTAAAATGAGTGTTCCTGTATTAAAAAACCCTAAGTATCAGCACAAAAGTGCTGAAAACTATACATCCATGAAAATTCCTAGGGAAAAAAAACCCCAAAACACCACACAAACATGATGAGCCATCCATCAGCCATATACAAAAAAAAAAGTGGTAAACTAACTGGAAATTCACTACACTTGTCCTGTAAAATTTGAGAGCTATACAGAGTCCTTCCAAAGCTAGCGGTAATTATTCCTCCTATGCACTTCAAAACAGTCGAAGCTCATCAGAGTAAAGCACAATAGATGTTGCAAGAGAAATGAACAATTAGTGTAATTTTTCCAGTCCCAATTACAACACATTACAGCTAAACTTGTTACCTAACTGTTTACTTATTCAGATGTGCTGTTCTATTTGGAAGGTCTGAATATTAACAGATTTATAACATCAACTGCTACCTTCACTTAAGCAATATGACCAACATTACTGCATTGTTTGTAAACGGGCTGCTGAAGTTCCCACTGCGAGTGGAACAATATACACTACTATGAGAAAACTACAACAGATTCTGGTGCAAAGCAAAGAATTTACAAAATGGAGCACGTGCTTGTCTTTTGGCTGAGTATAAATCAAACAACTGGAATACCCCCAAATACGTCCAAGAAAATATTTCACTGGGCCATCTCCTAGGAACCTCCTTTAGGATATCCTCCAATACATTCACATCAAGTTCTACTGTGCTTCTATGGCTGGTAATTTACTTATTTATTTTTCTCCCAAAAAGTTAACGATTTAGCGAGAGAGTCATTAGAATTAGAGGTAGTTCAATGAACACAGCTGAGCTTCGAAAACTTTTTGCTATTCATTGGTCACAAGTCACGCCACAAGCCTTCTCATTTTGCTCCGTGCCATATTTGTCAAGCCTGCAGTACTATCTCATTTCAGCATTTACAGTAACGACTGTAATTGAGTGCATTCTTCACTGCTGTAGTCAATACTCTTTCTTAGGAAATAAAAAAAGCCATTCATTCCTAAATGCGAACCTGATGAAATAACTTTAAATAGTTCAGTATGTCAATGGAGAATTCACTGTTCCTTTCATTGGTGTCATTGATTCTGCTTATTTCTTGAATGCTTCTATTCATTTGGAGAGAGGGAGAGAGACCACTTTCTGAGCTTGTTCTTTTGTTGGAAATCTGAATCCTGACCTGAAGATTAAAACATCTCCATTCTCTGCTAACCACTATGACAGAAGAACGTTACTGGGAAAGTTATGGCTACTAACTAGGAAATGAGAGCATAATCTACAATATGAGCACAGAAATTTTAAAAAAGCTAAGGTCTTTTGGGCCAATTAGACTGCAGGGCAGGGGGTGTGGGAAAGAGGAGGAATTTCCATTGATCATACCACTAATTAAACCCCATATCCTCTTACATGTGTAAAACAAAGAAAAGCCAGTTGGTAAAATGGAAATATAAAAGCACTCCAGATCCATGAGGTCCAAACTAAATGCAGGACCAATCTTTGCCAATAAGGCTCTTCCTACGAAAAAAATCTTCCAGCCCAAAGTTATTACACAGCTTTTAGGAGGGAAGAGGAGACTGAAAGCCAAGGACAAAACCACAGTGTCCTGAGGAAGCAGTGAACAGCACTAAAAGACATTCAAAGATAAAAAATCAACAAATTCACTAGAGATCTTGAAACGCAGTAACACTGCTCCACTTTCTCAAAGAGTATTTTCATTCTTTGCTACAAACAGCTGTCTGCAAAGCTTGAAATAAGCCTAGTCTCACGTTAGACACAATTCCATTATTTTCCTGTACTGGTTTGGATCTTTATTTGAGGATTTTATCTGCAATACAGAAAACATGGGATTGGAGGAAAAAGACTTAAAGGACGGGGCAAAAAGACAATGGAAAGCTTAAAAACTAAAATTAGCAACATGATAAATTACTGGAGAAAGGCAAACAAATGCAACTTTAAATAAAACTATGCTACAAAATCTATGCAAAGTACTAGGTACACTTTTACTGTATTGTTATTCTAGTAGTTGACAGTATTACACAATACTTTAGATATATACACAGTTTTAAACACTTCCCAAAACACATCAAATCTATTTTTTTAAAACTAGTACAGTTTCCACTGCATATGACATTTTTTCCCTTTGAATATCTTTCTAACTTGCTTACACAGCTTTAAAACATCAGCTTTGCGAAATCTCATATCCTTCCAGCTTCACTTACCTACCTTACCCAGAAGCTAGGAGGATTAAACGCTCGGGCTGTGCTTTGCAGCGCTAAGTAGTCAGCACTGTCACTCGGTATTTTGGCACCAGAGCACCCTTAGATTCCTCATCTCCGTATCTCGCCCGCATGCTCTAATAATCACCTTTCTTCCCTTTCCCGCCTTCTGCGCGTTCTGGCTGCTGCAAGACCCCATGAGACCTCCAAGACCTTGTTTCCACAACTCCACCACAACATTTGCACAGATAAGACCGGGCACCGAAAGAGCAGCATTGAAGTGGCAGCTTTTAGAGCCCGTACGGCTGATGAATGGCAGGCACAGACAACTGAGCTCATACAGCACAAGCTCCCTCGATCACACGGCATGGAAAAATTCGAGCACGGGTAACAATTCCGCCACACAAAACCCCAGCGCCTCCCTAAGGCAAAAACTACCTACCCCAAAATGGATTTTAAATGACCTATGTGAAGTTGATCGCCTTCCAAATCAGGGGGAGAAAAGGCAGATTTCACAGCTCTGCCTGGGCGTGGATTTCATAGCGTGTTCCTCGTTTTACGGGAGTAGTATAGCACTCAACTGAAATATCAGGTACTTCAGCAAAATGGTGACCAACGTTTAATTCTCCTGGATCATGAGAATCTGAGAGATGACCCCGCTAAAACAGGCCCTCAACAGGGGCAATGCAAAGCACCACACAAATACGCCATATTTCAAGGGTTCTTGAAAACTTTTATGAACTTCAGTAAACACAAACTCTTGACCCATCTTTAAAAGCCCGGCCTCAGAAGGAGTACTTATTTTCCATCACTTCTCAAACACTTCAGTGAAAAATGAGGTCATCCAAATAGTCACACTATGAAGAAATTTGCCCATTTCTTTAGCAGCTATTAGAACAGCTACGTAATCTCAAGGCAACTATCCTGTAAGTGGAGATAATCCAGTTTTATTTTGGACACCAAAGTTTTAAATTCTCGAGGGTATCTCAAATAAAAATAAAACTCAGTAACGCCTGCTCCATCTTCAGGGAATTACCTGCAATAGTATGCCCACTTCTTCAGCAACAGGCCACTAAATTACTTCTACATGAAAAATACTTTGTGCTTGATGATGAGCCTGGTTCATATTACACACCTCTGTAGACTTGCATCATTTCTTGAAGGACAAGACCTTGTAGCACTAGTCATGCTCTACTAAAATACATTCCCAAGCCAGAAAAAATAGAAGCGTGCTCTGTCTTGTCAGCAACACCCAGGGCAAGGTACAGCTAATAAAAGTACACTGGAACTGGAAGGTGATTTGTGTTATGAACTTCAGATGGAGCTCTGCAAACCCACAAAAATAAAGGAGACATTTACAAGGGGGTGCAGAACAGAGGAAGGGGTGAAAGCTGTCTCCTCTTTACATTAAGTCCCTTTCCCTTCATCTATGCCAGCCTTTCTCCCAGAAAGGGAGACGAGCAGAGCCTCTCCTACCACTTTCTGACCTTCCTCTGAACCACCCGCTGATCCTGCCCTCAGCCCAACGAAAGCTCCCACAGGTGCTGCCTGCACCTGCACAGATCCCTTCCCTGGGAAAACCAGCAACAAATAATCATGAGGTTTACAGGGTCTCAGTATGTATCCATACAGTGGAGGAAAGACACAAAACCAGCAGACAGTCCCAGAGTACCAGCCTCAAACCACACTTGGCTGTCAAGAGAGCCCTTAACACAGATTTTAACACTTACTCTTTCACTCAAGCTACATCCTTTTAGCTACCCATTGCCAATGTTTATTTGGAGCTGTTCTGGTTTTACCTTATTATAGGCTCAATTTTGGTATCAGCACAGACTGATGATAAAAACCTTCTAGCACGGGGAAGTCCCAAGCCTGCAGCTTTCATATTCAGACAACAAAAATTCAACTCACTGGTTAAATTGCTTCTGCTTCACTGAATGAATTTGCTGTTTGTCTTACCTACATGTAAAAATCATTGTATTTTTTATAATTATTAAAAATAATTGTAGTTATGTTGCCATTGCAAGTACTTAGTATTTTTCAAGAAAATCTAGATGTCTAATTTACGTTTTAAGAATAGCAGTAAAGTCTTACTTCTCTGAAGCAAAGTGCATGCTAGAGCACAGCCTCTCATTCCTTAAATAAAAAGAATAAAATGGTAAGCTTAAACAAAAAGTGGGGGTATGTGCCACACTGTGTAAAAATGTGAAAAAATTATAATTATCCAATTCACTACAAGCAGATTTAAGAACAGCACTACAGGGTCAGTGCTCTAATTTACTATAGACACATGTATATATATAAAAAAAAATTTATAAACTGATCTTTTCGACTTATCACAATATTTTGTCAACAGTGGAGAATCTTTTTATATCAGTTTAGTGCACTAAGAAAGTTGCACCTGAACAAGATGAAAAATGTCCTAATTCCAAGAGTAGGTATGATGGCCACTAGTTTCACCTTTTTTTTTTTTTAAATTAAAGTACTTTAAAAGCCAGCTACGTCTACCGATTCCCAGAGTATATACAGTTGCAAGTAAAAGTGACACTTTTAGAATTCCATGGTGTTCTGCACTAATTTGTCATAAAATGTGATGTAACCGTCATCTTAAGTCAAGAGTATTGGCAAATAGAATGTGCCTAAAATAATAACACAAAAACAGTTCTGATCCTCCATGCCTTTATGGAACATAATTGTTCAACATTCAAAATGCTACAGTGGAAAAAGTAAGTGAATCCTTGAGCTAACTGGAGTCAGGCTAACCTGGAGCCTTGTTAAGAAAAGCAGTTTGGAGGTGTGCACTAGAGCTATGTTGACTGCTAAAAAACACTCAAACTTTTTGAGTTTGCTCTGCCAAGACGTGTGAATATGTGAGCCATGTCTCGTCAAAAACAGCTTTCAGAGCATCTACGATCAAGAATTGTTGATTTATATAAAGATGGAAAGGGTTACAAAGTGATTTCAAAGACCTTAGAAAATTCAACAGTTAGGCAAACACTCTACAAATGGAGACACTTTGGGACTGTGGCTAGTCTACCAAGTGGGTGCCCAGTCAAAGTGACCCCAAGAGCACAACAAAGACTCATCAATGAGGCAAAGAAACAACCCCGAGTGACAGCCAAAGACTTGAAAGTATTATTGGAACGGGCTGGCATCTGCCTTCATGGGTCTACAGTAGATAAAACATTGAACAAGCAGGGTGTTTATAGCAGGGAACACGAAGGAAGCTGCTGCTTACTACAAAGAACATTGCTGCACACCCTAAGTTTGTGAAAGAGCACACTGACACTCCACAGTGGTGTTGGCAAAGTGTTTTGTGGACTGATGAGACAAAGACTGAACTATTTGGAAAGAACACGCAGCACTACATCTGGCATAAAAAGGGCACTGCATGTCATGATGAAGACGTCATCCCAACCGTAAAGGATGGTGGAGGAAACATCATGATTTGGGCCTGCTTTGCTGCATCACGGCCTGGCCAGTTTGCAGTCATTGAGGGGAAGGTGAAGGTGAATTCCCAAGTGTATCAAAAATATCTTTATCCTAAAGTGAGAATGTCTGTACGTCAGCTGAAACTCTGTAGACATTGGGTGATGCAATCAGCAAGTCCACATCAGAATGGCTTCAGAAAAACAAAATCCACCTTCTGGAGTGGCCAAGTCAGAGTCTAGACCTCAACCTAACAGCGATGCTTTGGAATGACTTGAAGAGAGCCTTGCACATGAGATGTCCAGAGAATATGCCGGAGTTAGCGCAGTTCTGCTGGCAAGATTGGGCTAAAATCCCTCCTGAACGATGTGCAGCTCCGATCTAGAGCTACAGGAAGCACCCGGCTGAGGTTACTGCTGCCAAGGGGGCCAAACAGTTATTGATTACAAGGGTTCACTTACTTTTTCCACTAGCATTTTGCATGTTGCATGAATGTGTTCAATAAAGGCATGGAGAATCAGAATTGGTTTTTTGTTATTATTTTAGGCACATTCTATTCATCAATACTCTTGACTTAGATGACGGTTACATCACATTTTATGACAAATTAATGCAGAATATGAAATTCCAGAAGGTTCACATACTTTTTCTTGCAACTGTAATAGCTTGAATCTCTCGTGATTACAATGATAAATTATCCAGGCAACAATTATAAAAAGCCCACAAGGCAAAGGTGAAATTTCAGATTTGTATGGCCTTTTATAACTTAGCCACTGTAACTACAAACATTTACTTTCTGTTATTTCCAAAGTACACTATCACCTCAAAAAATGACCTGTATTACTTGTACAAAGTAAAACATGCAACCAGAAGATTCGATTCATTTTGGACACAGTAAGACTGGAGTTTTAGTGAAGCCCAAATTAAACAGCTGCAACTCTTTACTTTCCATTCTATTAAGATCTATCAGGGAAATAATAACATAAGATTATATATGAGGCATATATTTACCACTGACTTCAAAAAAAAAAACCCAAACCAAGAACACCTTCCCCAAACAAAACAAAAACAAACAAAAACCAAACAAAAAAATAACAAAATCAAAAAACAACATGAAAACCAAATACAAACCCAACCCAAATCTAAAGGTGTGGCATTCAAAATAGCTGTCAATTTATTTTAGTTAGAAATTCAACATTGATATAAATTGAGAGCAGTCTTCTACCTAACAAAAGAACTAAATCTCCTTTGCTGCATTCTCTTCAGTTTACTTGTGTTGAAAAAAATACAGATTTTTAACATCAAAACAATAGAAAATACATATTTGCTACTACAGACTATAGTTTAGTGGGTGGGGTTTTTTTCAAAGTTGCTTTAAGGAGATAGAGCAAAGAACAAAAAAACTATCAAGTATTTGGTTGCTGGATGTACCACAGCGAGATCATGACTTCCTGCAGTTTGAAGGAAGATGTGCCTGCAGAGGCACTTTCCTTTGTGACTAGCAGGTGTGCGATACAGTAGCCAAAGAACCTCCCTTTACTATGGAATTATGGCTAGTAAGAGGCATGAAGCGAGCCAAGGGGAGGGCAGGAGGATGCCTCACTGTTGTCAGTTTGGGGACACCATGCAAACCAGCTCTGTTCTGCCAGGTGGTTGGTGTCATTCATGCCACAATCGCAGAGGACAAAAGCATAAAACGATGCTTTATGATCCCTGCTAAAAACTGACAAAAACCGAAACCAAACGACAGCTGCTTCAAAGGGCAAGAAACAGTGCATTTTGTTTTTACACCAGCAGGGTGCAGTGGTTACCAAAAACAGTAAGATGCTCTTTTGCTACCCAATGGATCTACTGTTAGTAAATAAAGGATTCTCAAAATGGTTGTTTAAATGCAGAGTTTGGTCAGGCATGTACTAAAGAGGTCTGAGTAGTAGGTTAAGAATTCCTGGGGCTGTTTTAAAGGATGACTCTGCTTTTACTGTGAAATCTATCCATGCACGTTCCCAAAATTAGTAACCGAGTCGATTTAAAAGCATGAATACAAAGGAGGCAAATTCTTTCAAAATGTTCCATCTCTTGTTCAACAAAAAGGACGAAGAATACTCTTTATCATTTGAACACAGCAGAATTTCATTAAGCCATAGAGACTGGGGAAGACTGATTGCATATTTGGGGTATTAGAGAGTAAAGGGAAATCAAAAACTAGGAAAGCAATTAAAATATTACATCAAATATTATATAAATGCCTATTATTCACTTACTTTAGATTATAGTTTTGTATCACGCTTAAGAATCCATATTTGGTGATATTCTATTAAACTAAATGATCTTCTTGATATGGGAACTCATGAAAACCCCGATCTAGTTTTGGCACAAAGGCTCTGACAAGACTGCCAATTTTTTTGTGCAGATAAGAGCATTAAATGACTTGCTACTGCATATTACAGCTCACATGGAGGAAGAAGAATCACTCACCACATTGTAATAGCTTTTGTTAATTGCAGACGTATCGAAGCCTTTAGGTGGGCTCTTCAATGTCCCTGATTTGGGGGAGACTGGTTTTTCTGAAACATAAGATATTTTTGCATCAATGGGGTGCAGTTTCATAGCTCGACACTAGAGGTCAAACAAACTGTTTTTAAATATTTATTGTAAGATACAGTGAAAATAGTGCTTCACAAAAACACACACACTTGTGCTTGAAATTATTGGTAAAGAAACAAAATGGTTCATATGTTCACAATAAATAAAACTCCAGCCTCAGTGAAGAGGTAAGTAGAATGAAGGTAAGTAGAAAAATGCCCATTCTTCTTTCTGGAACCAGAATTAGAATTTCAGTTACTAAAATAACCTCTTCCAAAATTAATTTTTTTAAAAGGAAAATTTTATCGCAGACTGCCATGTAAAACAAAAAACAACAACAATAAAAAATGGGCATTTCCAAACACTGCTTCACTTTCTAACAAAAGCAATATTAAGTTTTAATATCAATCCAATGAACTTGGCAAAAGCAGGTGACTAATTAAAGGCTGAACATACCACAGGTGGGACATTACACTCAATCTAGTTGCAGTAGAGAACTGTAACACTGTACATGTAGTGGAGTGACTTACCAGATGTCTACCCCAGAAAATAATCTTTTAAAAACAAATTATTTTTTACTATCCATGAAGTAAAAGTTAGAAATGCTCATGCACTTGAGAACAGAGTTGGATAATGGTTGGACTGGATGATCTGGAAGGTCTTTTCTAATCATAATGATTCTGTGCTTCTGTGTAACAATAAATGCAATCCCTCCTATAGTCCCATAGTCTGCCCTTCAGGAACGCGTGCTTTTCTTGGGAGAACAACAGTCCTGAGAGTGGAGTTCAGACCCTCAGAACAAAGAGGGTCTGAAACACTCCTAAAGCCTCCCCTCCACCTCTACCATTCCTCTAAGTCAGTGACACAGCAGCGAAGATGAAGGAAAGAGACACTCAAAAGCATCATGCCACTTGTTGGAGAAACAGCAGGTAAGACTTACTTTCTTTTCAACTTCTCACATTTGATTTCGCACACGACCAAATGAGAATGCTTGTGAGACTGTATTTATCAGGATATTATGGTGTCTTGGTTTGTTTGTGGGGTTTTTTTTTCAAGTAAGCAGGTTTCTCTAATATGCAAGTTTCAAATAAGCATTTGAGTAATTTGCATCCAAACAATAAAATGGCAAACTGAAAAAAACTGAAAAAACAAACAATAAAAAAAAAATCATCCCCCCCAAAAAACAACCAACTAACCAAACAAAAAAACCCAACATAAAACAAAACCTAACTATAAAGGAAATAAAACATTCAACATAAAAAAACCCATTCAACATAAACATATTTCTTTACTGTGAGGGTGACAGAGCACTGGCACAGGCTGCCCAGAGAGGTTGTGGAGTCTCCTTCCCTGGAGACATTCAAAACCCTCCTGGACACATTCCTGTGTGGCTGCCCTAGGGGATCCTGCTCTGGCAGGGAAGCTGGACTAGATAATCTCTAGAGGTCCCTGCCAACCCCTGACATTCTGTGATTCTATGATTCTGTGACTCTAAAGGTTTATTAATTATGTGCCAAAAAGCATGGAAGAAGAAAACAGAGTTATTTAAGGAAAAAGGTCACTGAATTTTATCATAATACACATGTCTGAGCCCTGTCAATCTGAAGGAAGTTGTGTGGTCACAGAAATCTTGCTCTTCTGCCAGCTACTCTGTTATCTTAAGGGTATAAAAATATATCTCTTCCCCCAACTTTTTCTTCTCCTAAGCTGCTGAAAAAAGTGGGAGAGTTTTCTTCCTGAAATATAATCATTTATATTACACCAGTTGTTCTGATTCAGTTACCCATTAGAGAGACGTGATCAAATTCAGATTTAAAAACAGGACACACAAAAAAAAGAATCACACATTCAAATAACTTTGCCTGAACAGTCATCGTCATCACTCAGCTTTTAAAATGCAAAGGCCATTTCTATTGTAGAAACACAGAATTAGACACAGCAAATTAGTCCAGCTGTCTGTCATGTCTGGTATTCTGCCTCTAAGCACTGTCTTGCTTCATAAGGAGGAATAAGAAACAGTCTTGTTGCAATTAGTTTATTAAACAATGCATTACATAGAATAAAATTCTGATCTTGGACATCGGAAATCACTTTCATAGCATAAACAAAGGTTAAGTGCTATTTATCAGCCTTCAAGAAAGAACATTAGGATACTTTTGAAAACATATGGCAAAATCCATTCAATATTTCGAGCAAGAGTCACCCCCATTCAGCAGACTGGGAACATACAGAGGTCTTACAGGTCCATAGGTCTGTGAAGTCAATAGGTTTCTGAAACGTTAGCAAAACCCTGGAAGCTTGCTCACTCCAACACATAAGCTCCTTTTCCCAAAGCCCGGGAAGAGAGCTACCTGAGCCAGACACCAAGTTTTCCCATAGAGAAGATCCTTCCCTTCATCCTACTTTTCTCCCAGTCACATGGCTTCTGTTCCATTAACACAACAAAAACACCCGCAGCATACAACTGAATCCAAAGCAAACAAGTGCCTGCCCAAATACTGGAAGAGACTCTATCCAGCTGACTGAAACCACGGGGTAAGTTACCACTATCAGTTTTTCTCCTCATCAAAGCATTAAATTCAACTGCACTCAGCACACTTGATAATGCTTTGAAGCGGCTAGTGATAAACCAGGAAGAATTCACTAAACAGATCATCTTTGGGTGGGCACTGAGGTTGGCACAGGCTTCTTAACATTATTTTTCCAGCAAATAATTACTCTCAGTAGAATCAAAACTTAAAACAGCTATTTCTGTAATCTTCCTCTATATAGTATACAAGATGTCACAAACTCTCTAAAATTAAGTAGTTATCCTTTACGAACACCTTCCTTTCTAAGTGACTGTAAAAGGACAACTTACCTAATCCTTCCCAACATTCTGTTTCATTTTGTTTTCACTTACCCACAAGAATTTCTTTTACTTGCCTTCAAATTACTTCCCATTCTCATGTTCTCTCCTACCTCTCTTGTCACATCTCCAGTTTACATCACATTCATTTTCATGTAACAGTCCCCAAAGCTACTCTACAAAGCGCTCCTTCCCGACGAACTTTACTAAAGCATTTCCAACCCTACTGCTGCGAGAACACCACCGGGTGCTTCTGCCATTCCTAGGCTGCAGCACATAATCTAGACACAAAGACCCGATTTGGGCTATTTCACCCTGAAACACAGGAGGAAAGACGTGCCAGCTGGGACACCAAAAGCCATGTGGTCCCTGTGAGGGAAATGCTACAAGCAAGCTCCTTCTCTCTGAACTGATCAGTTCGAGTCTGACGCCAGGAGGGTAAGATCGAAGCTCGTTCCCAGTTCTCAAGTCGGCTCAGGCAGCCCTGCTTGTGACAGGCTCCCCTCCGCCACGTGGAAGCTACCAACATTACTGTCCTGGTAGCGCTCACTGGTCCCAACTTCTACAATATTTACGCCTGCAGAGTGATACTTGACCCAAGAACAAAATACCCCTCCAAGTGCACATGGTCGGAGAAAGGAAAAATGAGCATTCTTCGTGGGTTTTCAGATACTCTGGCCTTTTCCCACACTGATTTTTTTCTTTTTTTTTTTTTTTTCCTTTTTTTTTTTCTTTTTTCTTTCTTTTTTTGACATACAATCAGAAGAACCACTGACACTGTAACTTGCAGTGGGGCTGATATTAACATAACCATCAAGTAGGCACAACAGAAGAGGGGTCAGGACAGTGATGACACATTTATTTCTGTGAAGAATTAGAATACAGTTTGTGACATACCAAATGTAATTTTTCAAAGCTTTATCCCCTTCTGCGTAGTCTCCTGCCATTTAAATGAATTACACTTTGATAAAACCCAGTAAGTGACCACGTGATTTTTCTAAAATCTGATTAACATCTGACAGCAGCTAAGCAAGCACATCCCATACTGGCTAACCGTTACTCTTCTCGTCACAAGGGAACTCTCAAAAATAGGCCTCCAAACCTTTCTGCCGTGCAAGACAGAAGCAGCAGTGTAAGAGACAAGATTCCACCTACACCTTCACCTCTCCCTGCTCTATGTAACAGAAAAAAAAACCCCATTCAGTAAGGCCACACTGTCAAATATCTAACAAGTTTACACAGCACAAATATTTTACTCTGTGTCACATGTAACAGCACAGCAGGATGAAAATAAAGTCCTCTCATTTCAAAACACTTCCTGACTAGACAAAGAACATTAAAAAAGGCGATATGTTACAAGGTTTAAAAAGGGAAACGAAAATATGCACACAGAGAGGGAGGGAGAGAGAAATGGACCATCTTTTTGCTCCTTACAGTGTATGCACGTACCTGAATAGAAACTGTTTGGGTTTTTTTTCTTCTATATTTGCAAGTTTGATTGCAAGTACCACGATTTCTAACAAATCCTCCTTTCCTCCCCAGCCCCTGACCCAGGGGGCAAAGAAAAAACACACACTAAGAAGCAAAAGAAAAACCATATTCCAACTCAGCCACATTTATTTTCCCAAAACAAAGGAATCAAAACCTAAGAAAACTACAGGCTGTGCTCTGCTCAATACTCTCAGTACCTGTCCTGCAACCACTCGTAGCCCATTTAACACACCTACTGGCATTCTGTGCCAACACTCATCATTCTGGCACAGCCAAGCAAACAAATTACAATATGGGAACAGCTTTGTGATGTTTTAGCTACTCCAAGATGCCCTATTATGTAACATGCTGTGCCTGTGCAATATATGCACTGTAGTTTAATTTTCTTCTAAAATCTTTTAAGAAAGCAATGTTGTTAAAGGCAATTCCCCTTACTAATCAGCTCCTTTTATCTTGCCTTGAATATCTAACTTCAGAGCAATGGTACAAGCCAAGATTACAAATACACAGTTATTTGACATTAGAGGATTTTAATTTAGAATAAAAAAAATCCATATCTCTCAACATAAAATGCCTATGACTTCTGTGAGAATTAAAACCAAGCCACACAGGCATAAAGAACTTCGTTTGTTTCCTCTGTTACCCAGTTTGCCACAGTCACATTTCAGCACACTGAAGGTATTTATTTCACCATATCCACCACCTCCCAGGAGCTCTCCCAACAGCACATCATCCAAAAATGGTAACAGTGTTGCCTGCACAGAATTTCTAACTAGTCACAGTATTTTCAGGCACATTTAGAAGAATAAAGAAGGTTAGAGTCACAATATTGATGTCAGAATACTTTATAGAGTATTTTGAAAACTGATAAGACATCCATGATATATATTTTGTTCATAAAGAGACCTTAATCAAGAGCAACTATTTCAACAATTCTATCCTGATCTCTCTTTAAATAAATTCATTGTAATGCTGACAGAAAACACATTTTGAATTGGAGCTTGTGTTCTACTACATTATTTTAAAATACATGAGAAAAAAAACCCCACTTTCTGCGTTTCAACCTCAAGCTTAAAGCATGAAGACACTTAAAATATTTCTGAATTGGCAAAATCTTAAAGTGAGATGTATATATAGCTGCCAGAAATTCAAGATAAAATGGGCAGTGAAAGACTTTCAAGTCAAGAAACATCCACAAGTCTAATGAAGACCAGGAAAAAAAGAGCAGGGGCACAGGAGTGCAGAGATTGTCAACCCTTACATAGAACCTAGATGAAACTTCTCAGGAAAATTCACCAGAGCCATTCATGTAACTTCAGAGCTTTGGGGCAAGTGGCACGACAGATTCTTGTTTCAACAAGGACAGCAGGTAATTAGGGACAGAACCAGGGGGAATGATTTCAAGTTGCAACACGGCAAGTTTAGGCTGGACATTAGGAAGAAATTCTTCACATAAAGAGCGGTCAGACTCTGGAACAGACTGCCTAGGGAGGTGGTTGAGTCGCCATCCCTGGATGTGTTCAAGTGTTGTTTAGATGTGGTGTTGGGTGATATGGTTTAGGGGTGGACTTGTAGTGTAGGGTTAATGGTTGGACTCGATGATCCCAAGGGTCTTTTCCAACCTGAATTGTTCTATGATTCTATGAAGCCCATTCAAAGGATGCAGCAGCAATGCACTTTGAGCACGGCAGGAGAATTATAGGACAGAGCCCTCTAGCACCTTCAGTGATAGCCACAAAGCAGAAACTGCTTAGTAGAAATGTTCGTAACAAATTCCATGGAAACAATCGAGAAAACTGAAAAAAAATAAGAGAGTAGCAAAATGCAGACAATGAAATTCAAGTAAGAAGAATTCAATATATCTACAAATATTGGTTAAAATAGATTTCCACCAGTGACAAAAAAAGAGCAGCGAAGGCTCACAAGAATGAGTAGTCCTTTAAGATTTAGGGCCATCTCAAAGAAAGAACAGAAAAAGTAGATGCAAACTGACATGATCAAAATCACAAACACTACAGTGACCTCAAACACACAAAAAGAAGCAAAAGTAGTGAGAAAAGGTCAGGTGTCCAGTTGAAATACAACTAGCATGGACATAAAGGTAGCAGCAACAGAACATTCCATAGCCTATATCCATCAAGGGAAAAGGTTGATCTACAACTCAATACAAGAGTTAACAGCCATCAAGAAGCTTTTAATCTGTCATGCTTCCATCCATCACCCTCCCATCCTTATTATAAAAAGGTCAACTTCAGACAATTGGAACAAGTAAGAGCATGTTAAAGCCAGTATTTTGATAAATTAAAAAGTACCTGCTGTGCTGATTTGGCAGTAAGCGAACTAGCTACACTCATGTTTGAAACCACTGAGGACATGTCAAGCTCCATAAAGTACAGGAAAAGGCCAAACATATTAATTGTCTTTAAAAAGGAAAAGGAGAACAGAGAAAGCTGGAAACCTACACGTCAGTCATTTTAACTTTTTAATAGCCAGTAAACGCACAGAAAACAATGAACTCAACTTCCTGAGAAAGAGAAAAGTGCAAGCACACATTCGTTTCCATAGAAGCAATTGAGTATGTGAGAGTGTGCTCCAAGAACACAAGAAGTCTCATAGAAGACAGAAGGAGCAAGCCCTTGTAGCACAGGGAACACGCCTGGTTCTCACACACTAACTGTTAAAAGCTATTTCAACTCTGGAGCCCAATTGCCGACCCAGGTTCCAGTCTCGAGAGTCAGAAGAGAGCAGAACCGATCAATTCCAAACAAGACCTCTGTAGCAAGGTGTTAAACGAATAACAATGGGACAAGAGAGTCATGCCAGCTGAAAGAGACTGCTACAATACTACATATATAAGGAGAGAGGGGGGAAAAAAAAGAAAAATAAAGGCTTCAGGAATTGTTTTTCAGAATAAGCTGCATCTGAGAGATGTCTGAAAAACATTAAAGCCAAGTCTTACATTGTGACTGTGCCTACGAGGATCTAGTTGAAAATGACAACCAAGTTACGGAACTAAGACTGTAGCATTCGGCAAAAACACGGAAGATAAGATGCAACTGGAGGAGAAAGAGCAAGTTTAAAAAATGAGTTTTACCCTCAGAACTCCAATTTGCAATAACCTAACTTTATGGCCGCCTTAAAAAAAAAAAAACAAAGCAGCCATGCCAATTATTTTAGTAAGGGCCAAAAGAGATGTGTTTTAATGGGAGTTGTGACAAGGGAAAAACCTCTCCGAGTCCTGGGTCATTTTGTCCTACAAGGTTTATCCCTAATCTCTGAAAGAAAGAGACAAGACAAAGAAGAAAATAGAAAAAAAAAAGATGTCACACACATCAAGGTCCTAGTGGATTAAAAAAAACAATATTAGTTCTGACATTCAGTCATGAAAATGACATTTACAGGAGGCACTTTCACTGTATGACATTGAAAACAAAACTTCAGTGGAAGAGTGAAGCCTATATAAAGAAAAGTTGAAGGCACACGAACAATAAGGAAAAAAAAAAACTTCACAAAGCCAGTATCTTTTCAAAAATGCCTCTAACTTTTAGTAGATTTTTGAAGAATTGGGGATTTTTCCTGCTGTTGTTTGTTTCTAAGATGGGACATGTTTAGAGATTTTTTTAGTGTAGTTTTTTTTATTGGCTTTTAGGGGAGTTGTTTTGGTTTGGTTTTGTTGTCTTTAAGGAGATTTGCAGGAAATCTCTCACTATGAAATCCAAAGCATCAATTCAAAGTATGTCGGCATCAGAACCAAAATTCAGCATCCTAGGAACTCAGACCCAGGAAATCAGAGCAGCCCAACTGTGACAGAGACCAACAGACAACACTGGCACAGGCTGCCCAGGGAGGTGGTGGAGTCTCCTTCTCTGGAGACATTCAAAACCCGCCTGGACGCCTTCCTGTGTAACATCGTCTAGGTGTTCCTGCTCTGGCAGGGGGATTGGACTAGATGATCTTCTGAGGTCCCTTCCAATCCCTGACATTCTGTGATTCTGTGATACAAGCAAATGACACAAGGCAGTTTTCTGCCTTTGTATTGTTCACTCAATATTCCTAAAGCACTCACTATATAGTGATGTGGGGTGGAGGACTACGAGTTCCTGAGCATTGACAATTACTGTGAATGAAACTCAGTAAACACAATCAAGCTTAAACAAAAATCATTACAATTCTTAGTGAATCAACCAACTATCAAGCTCTACCATAAGCAAGAATTTGTGCAAATATACTCTCCTTTAAAACTCACCATTTGATTTTACTTCCCGCACATAGTTACTTGGAAACCATCCTGTTTTGCCATTTAGAGTTCCTTCCCACCAGCCTCCTTCTTCCACTCTTGTAACATGAATAATATCTCCTTTTGAAAAAGAAAGTTCATCTTCATTTGTCTGTTGAAAATTAAATTTTGCTCTCACCACCAACTGATGGTTGCTGTTATCTGTCATGTCCTAGAAAGTGAGAATATGAAGAACAAAAAGATTACATTAGAGATTTAAACAATTATTTCATGAATGAAACAAAAGCATCCATAAAGGAGCAATAGCCTCTCCTCCCCACAAAACACTCCCCCCACAACTTTTTATGCTAAGCATTTGTAAGGGATGATTTGCCATTTGTAGTATTTCTGTCATTTTTACTTTATAGATTAGTATCCGTGCAGAGAGCATATTGCACAAGGTAACAGAGCTAAAATGAGATTAATTCTTACCCCCCCTAAAAAAATCTAATTCTATTTTTTATATAAATTTAAACTGTCTGGCAACTACAAAGAAACAATAACTTTACATAAGAGAGCTTGTTTCTAAAACTTTCCAGGCTGGGAGGAGGGAGGAATTGAGTTAGGTTTACTTTAATTCTGGATATAAGTAAGAGACTGCGCAGCTTAAAACTTGGGGGTTTTTTTCATCTGTAACAGATCAGACTGGAAGGTTCCACACCTGAATGAGCAAGTCTCCATGGCCTGCAAATGGAGAAGGACCCTGTTCTTCCACAAAACCTATGCTACAGTTATGCAATATACCCTGAATAAGTACTCAAAAATCATTTGCCTCAAGGTTAGCAAAACTGCAAGTTTGCAGCATGTCAGAATCGCAGCTGTCCATATATCTATATATATACACATGCTCGTCCCCTATCACAGCTGTGAAGGCAGATTATCCCTCTATCATAACAACTAAATGTTAATAGCTACTTCTAAGAAGTCTTTCAAATTAAGGATGTTCAAATCCAGCATTTTGGGTTTGGATGTTAATTTTGAATATGTGCATCATTCAAGCATTTTATGAGAGTCCGGACAAACTTTTATGCTACGCAAAGCTAAATACTTAAAACAGCTTTAAATAATCCCAATATAATCCACTGCACTGGAACTGAAAGAACAAGACTATAAATCATGTCTGCTTCTATCATAAGTAAGGATCAATATCAGTATAACTAAAAAAACCCAACTTAGTGAGAAAATGATTGCTTAAGCAATCCCAGTCAGCTATCCAAATAGCAGAATTTCACCTACATGTTGTCTATAGAGTTGGGATGACTACAACACGTACTGCCACATTGTCACTGGGATCTTATAAAGTGTCGGCTTAACTCATAGCCACAGCAATCGTGTTACTGTATCGCAACTCAATTGAACAACGAGACTTCTAGTGGCTGAGGAACTGTGGGGAAATGAAGGCAAACACAACTTTGGAAATATGTAGAAAGCCCCACGCTGCTCTGAGTCGCAACGGTCAACAATGAGATCAGCACATTTTCAAACAAGTGACTCTGCGCAAGTCCTTTGCTTGTACATGATGTGCTTTCTTCTGCTGTGAGTGCTCAACAGGAGACAAAAATCTGCCTTAGTAAACAGTAAAAAGCCACAAAATAAGCACTGCATAACGACATCAACTACAGCCCCTTTACTCTGCTAAGATGGCTCTCCACTAGAGGAAACTGAGTACAAATTTGGCTAGAACAGCTCCAAATGGATCACATACAGCAACAAAACCAAACCCAGAATTTCCTGGGTTTGGCCTTTAGCAACTTTCTTGTAATTTCTCTGCCCCTTTGCAACTTCTCTGCAGAGCTGCTCAGGTCACTCAAGTGACAGAAATGCTTAAAACTCTGATTGTTCAGTGATCCAGCTAAACCACTTGTCCCCAGAACAGCTGATCAACAAAACGGAGTGGGTTGTGAACGACAGAGTGGAAGCTGGAATTAGTGGCCTAGGGGCAAGAACTTGCACAGTGTCTTCTACCAGAGAAAACACATCAAACCACACCTAAGAAAGCTTAAGCAGAGCACTGTTTTTCAAGTTTCAAACAGCAATCACCACATAGTTCAAAACAGGCTCTTTCAAGGATGGGAAAAGCAGTTTACAGTAGGAATCTGAGCCATCCTTGCAAACCTTTTAGTCACTAAAAGCATCTTTCATCATAGTTTCAATACAGTACTCCATTTCGATTTCAGCTGTACCATAAAACAACTGCCCATATCCCTCAGTTACCTGAAGGCTTGAAACGTAAGAGAAAACAGGAGTAACGACTAATACTCTCAATATTAAAAGTGCCACCTTTGCTGAGGTTTGAATATCTTTCAATCATCATCCCTAAACTTAGTGACATGGAGAAATTGAGAAATTTTACTTTAGAAAAGTAAGCAATTATACTGAAAAGTAAGAAATAAATCCAGGAAGATACTGTGTGGGCAGACAACATGGCGTGGTAAGTGATGAAAAAAAATTAGTTCACAGAAAGTTGCATGTATTTTGGAATATCATTAAAAAAAAAGCTACAAAAGTAAAGCGTCACAGGCTTGAAATACAGAGGAGAAAGAGAGGAAACGATGACTTTGTTATACTATTGTTGACTTAAAAATCTTATCCTTATAAAGAGAAGAAAAAAAAAAAAATAGTCACACCACAGCATACTTAATTTCTTCTAAAACTTACCAAACTCCGATACTGTCCCTGAAAGAGTTTTGAAGTTCTACTGTGTGAAGACTGGGATCCCAGAGAATCAAAAGATTTTATCCGATGAGACGAGGGACGTGCACATACAGAGTCACTGCCCAGCCCTATGTCTGTAGCATGAGGGGAGGAAAAGGTAAATATTAGAATTTAAGAAACCTGCAAGTAACTTTTGCTCACCTCTAAAATCCATGTGCTTAAAGCAGATATATAACCACAGTTGCTCAGTATATCAAGATTAAACCAAATTATAGTAATAAATAATCTGAAATCCTGAGACACTGGCAGTTTCTTCCCCACAGAGACAGGAAAACAATTTGAGTCCTTTAGGAAGAGGAGGGGTTAGGGTTTTATTTCTCCATTCCTAACTCACTACCAGTCCATTTAAAGGTAATTAACCAGCATAATTTTAGCTAGTGGCCAAGAATTTTGAATGCATAAAACTTGAAGTAAATCCAGCCACATTTGTTTCTTAGCTTCCCCGCCCCCCCGCCATCTCCTTCTCAATTAAAACATTCCTTCCACTGTCTTTTTTCCTAAGTTCCTTTGTCTCATCCCTTTTTTGTCAACTAAGTTATTTCTTCTTCTTTGGACGGGGAACTGGGAACAGATAGGAGTAGAAGAGAAGAAAGCTGCTCCCTCAAAAAAACCCAACACCCTCCCAAAACCTCTTCCCTCTTTTTTTTTGCCTCCACCCTGAGGGGGCACCGAGGCAGCCCCAGCCCTGGACACTAGGTGCTTCCCCGGGGACAGGATATCGGCCCACACACCGCAGGGCGTCCTCTCCTGCAGGTCAGCAGGCCACAGCCTGGCAGGGGCCGGGCTGCACCCAAAGTTGGCTCCTAAGGGCTGGGGTCAGCACTGCTGGGAGCTTCTCCCCAGCGTTACGCTGGGACAGGGGTTGCTCCCAGCTGCACCGGCTCCCCCGGTCCTTGCAGCCAACACCCCAAGAGAAGGCTGCTCCCAGGGCCCTTGTGCAGGTGACACGTTACAGCAGGCAAACATCGCTCCTTTGCACCAGTGCTCCCTTCCACTTGCTCACGTTTTCCAACATCCCAGGAAACCATTCACTGAGTATCTGAGCTTCAAGGAGCCCTGAAAGCAATACAGTATTTTCTGTCCCAAGCTTCACTAAGCTACACAAGCCTCCCAACTGGTCTCCTGGTTTTTATGTCTCTGTTACTTGTCTTTCCAACCATTTTGTTTTGCTTCCAACACTTGATCTCCATATCAGAGTTACACTCATAGAGCTACAGTCTCCTATTAGTTACTTCCAGACTAAAGTAGACTGTGATCATGCAAATCCAAGTTATTGTTGGTCCAGGGGAAGTGACAGATATGGGCTCAGTTCTATCAGGACACTGGTGAACAAATATTATCTCCTATTCCACATCAAACCTGAAGGGAGATCTTAATTCATCTTAACTGGAATGCCTTTCAAACTTCAGCATGGCGTCCAACAGCAGCCAAGAAGCAGGAGGAGGGAAAGGCTTTGAGGTAACAAGGAAGGAAGCAGTCACAAAGAATCCTTCTGGTCTGCAGTAACTGAGCAGAAAACACCTCTCTCAGGTGCATCTTTTTAAATGAGTCATTGTTATCCTTCAAAAATGCCCGATCTATCAATATACACTCCCTAGTCAAATAGCGCATTATTAGAACTATTCACATGAAGTTCCACATTTTGCATGGATCGTTTCATTCCACACTGAAGTCACCAAAAAAACCACTCATGTTTTGCTAACCTGTTTTAAATATAAGCATTTAAAGGCCACCATATTAACATAAACATTGATTATTGTAGTCCATTACAGAACAGACAATGTCCTGGTTTGAGCTAAATAGAATCATTTCTGTTCAGTGACTTTTACTTCTCAGCTCAGTCTCTTCTCAGAGGCTGCACTTTCTGAAGTTAGCAGCATGTTTTTGCAGACAGTGTGTGCTACTGGCAGTGATAACACCTGATGTTCACAGTTACTGCCTGGGACTGGGATGCAGAAAGGCTCTTGCTGATACTTATTCCTACAGTGACCAAGGCCACTGCTGGCTCTTGTGTGCCACACTGGGGGTGCCGGGCACGAGGAACTAAAAGACTGCACCTCTGGCGAGTTACAGACAGGACAAGTGATCAACAAGAGTATTCCATTCCATATATGTCATATTTGAATACAAAACTGAGGGATCACGAGGGTTTAGCTCTTTGTTCTCTTCTGCAATGGCCAGCGTGCAGGGAGGACATCTTTGACTTATGACTGCCAGAAGAGAAATGAGCCTAGATCATGGTCTTCATTTGTACGTCATAATTTTACAGCTAATTCTAACGCTCCCAAATGCTTTCAAGTTGCCGTAACAAATCGGTAACTAATAGAACTTAAGAATTAAAAGTAACTCAAAACATCTCCATGTCCAGTTTGCTATGTTCCTAACTGTAGTCAAATACAATAAATACACCATCAAATCCAGTATTATAACTTGACACAGTTTACCTAGAAAAACAGGATCAGGCTGACTCATGGCAGTGTGTTCCACCCTCTGGGCAACCCTAAAACACACTACTTGAATTTGTTTCCGCGTTCCTGAAATTTTCTATTTTGCAACAGCAGAGCTAATAAACAAACACAAGAGCACCTTTTAAGGCTTGAATTGGAAACTGAATCTGTTTGAGCTGAAAACAAAAATTATTACAAACCAATCACATGCAAATTGCAAGTATATTGACCAATAATACCTGAATACTTTCAAATCCATTTGAACTTTTGATAAATTTAAAAGGCTTGCAGACCCCATTTAAAGTTCCCATTAAAATATCAAATAAACACGTTCAATGAATTTTTCAACGGGATTATTGTCGATCCAACTCTGTAACTAAAAATACAAGAATCTTGAATGAATCACAGAATAGTTTTGGCTGGAAGAGTCCTTCGAGATCAACTCCAACCTTTTCCTAGCCCTATTAACAACACTAAATCATGTCCTTCAAGGCAACATCTATCCCTCTCTCAAACACCAGGATGGTGACTCAACCACCTCCCTGGGCAGGCTGTTCTAACGCCTGACAATCCTCTAAGTAAAGAAATTCTTCCTAATACCCAACCTGAACCTCCCCTGGCGCAACTTAAGGCCCGATTGGCAACAGATATGCATGTGTGACAAATATTAATTTGGTAATTTTATCAAAAAATCTAACCAAAGATTACCTTCATCTACCCAAGGATTTCCAAAGTTTACAGTATCTTTTTTTTTTTAACACCTTCCTCTTCTCTACCATTATCTCATCTTCCCTGCATCAGATCCTCTCCCCTTATCTGTCTACAAACAGCAACTGGTATATCCATAGTAGCATTTCACCAGTCTTCATGCTCATTACTCACACTCCTTCCATCAAAGGCCCATCTCAGAAGAACTCGTATATGCTTCAAATTCTTGCAGAACCAGATGGAGATGTGAAAGCCATCTTGCAATACTACACTAGGGAGATAAGAGTCTAAAACACCCTCTACACAGTCACCTGACTAAAAAAATAGTTTGGAAGAGCAGAAACAGGAAGATTTATGCAGTTCTGCTTGCTTGTAGGAATGAGACAACACCACAGTCTGCATGTGGTTTTCATTTTTGCTTTTGGTGTCAGCAACCCCCATCGCCAAAATGAAAGGGATCAGCCTGGGTCCTTTCTAAGCCATTTGCCATCGTGGGTTTTTGATGTGGGTATTAACTACTGATGTCTGGACCAAACAGCTGCACTTTTTCTCCTCTTTCAAGACAGTTACGGTCAGTGCACCACAGCTTTAAGGATGCACTGAAATGGGCTACATTTGCACTTGCAGTTAAGATGAAAAGCAGTATCTTCCACCAGTTTTAAGCAGCTTCAAAGTCAACGGTTATTACTCCATGACCACTACTGAGAACTAAGAATTTGTTGTAAAACTCACTTCTAAGGGGTGTTTTCCAATGCAAGAAAAAAAAAAAAAAGGGACTAGGAGTATTATAACAAGATGTTTACATTACTATTAAATGAAATAATACCGATCCACCACTGACTTGTCTACCAGCTTCCTTCTCCCCTTCACATAAAAGCTGAAAAGTACAGTTCATTTTTAAATAATCACTAAAAGGCTCAGCCTGAGCTCCACTGCAAAGCTTCCTCCTGCAGAAGAGGAGACTAGAGAACCCAAAGAGGCCACTGCCAAATCTTAACAACATAACTGCAACAAAAGCTCTTCAAAAATGCTGCACGTGTTCATTTTATGTGCACAGCAACAGGTATAAATATACATTGATGTGAGATGAAGGTAACTAAGTGGGCACCAAGACAGAGCAGAGTCTACTTACCTGCAGTCACCTTATTTAAAGCCACAAGAGAGCTGAGAACTTTGCTGAAATTCTGTCCCTGATACAGGTCATTTGCATCAAACGTCTGGAAAAAAAAACCAAACAAACATGCAATAAGTCTTTGAAATAGGCCTTTGGGCCAAGCACTACTATGCTATCATGCAAACCATGACCTAAGAAGCTATAGCCTAATCAAAGCATCAGTCTTTCAGGATCCAGTTTTTCAGTTATCCACCAGTAAAACTGGGGGGGTTGTTTGTTTTTTTTCCTTTTTTTCCTTTATCTTTCGTCAAACAACCAATAAAACAAACAAAACCCAACCAAACAACTAATTTTTAAATAGAAAGAGAATATAGAAACAGCTGCATATGAGAAAAACTGAAAAGCATATAAGGTAAAAGTATCAGGTGTCATTCAAATTACAGGAAAGTTGACTAAGATGTAATCCTCAGAAGAGAGAAGCTTTCCCCAGACGTTTTGCCATAAAAGGTTACTGGGTACCACTACAACTGGCATACTCTTCCTCTTATAGCAGCTCACAGGCACTATATCTGATTATTCATAAAGTACTTTTAAAATTACTACAAATGTTTTTAAAAGCACTACAAACACAGTACATCCTACCTCTTTATTCTACAAGACACAGAGGAAAGCAGCACTCCTGAAAATTAATGAATTTCACCAGGAGTGAAGTTGCTGGATAGGTTAGATGGAGAATGGGGCTTGGGAAGGGGAAGGATGAATGCTGAGAGTTATTTTATTTTTATTTTTTAACTGTGGGAAAGAGATCCAAATCTCAAATTATCTTGCAGAAAACATTCCCAGCAACTTTCAAGCACTGGGTGATGACATTAAACATCTGGATTTTAAGAAGGAAGAGATTTATTTTTTTAATTTTTTTACAAAAAAAAATCCATAATATTTGCCTTAGGTAATGGAAATACTCATCCACAATCTTTTAAAAATAGCTCTCACAACAGTTTCTGCATAGGCTGAAAAGTCACAAGTATTCCCTCATGCAAGACTAGAAAGAGGACAATAAGACAGCTATTACAGTTGCTCCAGCCAATTTAAGAAACAGAAGAAACTTAGTTTCCCTCAGTGTAGCAGTTTTATCTAAAAAGTCCACAACAACCTGTTTATTTTCCTGATAACAGACCCATCCCATAGGCACTATCAGAAAGCCCATACCCCAGAAAGCAGCCTTCAGAGGCAGGAAAGGAAAAAACTCCATATTCCCAGGGGAGGAGAGAAAAAGGGACAAAAGGAAGGCTAGCTGAACCCAAAAGAAGTGAAAATTTTCATGAAAGCTACCAAAAGTAACCACAGAAGGCGCTGCCAGACTAGTTGTGACTAGGTTACACGATACACTGATGAAGGCAGAGCAGATATAGAAAACATTTAATGATGGTATTATTCAGTAAGAAGGAAAAAAAGAACCAAACACAAGCCAACACACTCTTCCAAAGCCTTCACAGTATTTGAAGTACTGGCATATGTTAACGCGCACCTTTCTGCCCCTCAGACCGAGAAAGATCTCTGGTCCCAGGAAGCAGCAGTTCTACCCCGGCTGGGTGGGTGCTGATGTCCCTCAAGCCCAGGTAGTGTACACACAGCTCCTAAGAGTAATGTCACAAAACAGACACAGCAAAAGCCAGAGGAGGCAAACACTAATACACTTCAAGCAGTTATTGCTCACACAAAACAAATCAAGTAATTCTTCCATCAAGTTTCACTGGGCTACAGATAATTTAAAGGCTACTCTTATTTGTTTGAAGCAGTAAGGAGAAGAACCAGGGAATTGCCCAGATGTGGTTTTTTACAGTTTTTCCTTAAACATGAGAAATTATTTAAAGACTAAGTACCCAAAAAAAAGACATTAAGCAAATAAAAGTAGTCAGATTTTGCAGACAGAATAAGAGATACGTGAAGCTTTATTAATAGCATCATTTACAAGAAACAGAAATGAGAAAAGACACCAATAAGGTGACAGCACAGTACCTAAAACCTGGCTTAAACACAAAACCAGACTGGAGATCAGCCAAAACACAGCTCAAATTGGGGAAAAAAAATTAAGCTGTAATGGAACAATCAGGAGTGTAAATTCATTGTTAGCTACATGCTTATTGTGGTAGTTTTTAAAGCAGCAAACTAAGAACTATGAACAGAATCACAAAACAATGGCCTTGATCCTAAAAAAAAAAAAAAA